CCGGCCTCATGATGACCCTATTGTCATCGAATGCAAGGTTGCCAACCAACGAGTGGATCGGATCCTTATTGATACCGGGAGCTCGTCTGACCTTATAAGCATGCACAAGGCCTCTCACCCCTTAGTTGGCTTTAGGGGAGGGGTAGTGCATCCGGTGGGGAGGATTGACCTACCCATCCGGCTAGGAGAAAAGGGGGAGGGACGACACATTGTCGTCAAGTTCTTGGTGGTCGAGGAATTGACCGCCTATAATCTGATTTTGGAACGGAGAACAGAAGACGGCAATGGAGTGTTATCTCTCAGACGTCAAGCCTATGTAGCCGCAACCGGCCAAGGCGAGGAACCCAGACCTTGATGACTTCAAGGAAGCCGCGCCAACTCCCAAAGCAGCCGGCAAAAAGAGGAAGGCGAACCACCTGGTGGCCGTAAAAAAAGAGAAGCAATAGCAATCACTGATCGGGGAGCGGTCAGATGATCTCCATCCCCAGCCAGCTAGTGAAAATATTGACATTGTTCTAGATGACAGCTGTCCGGAACGAACCGTTAAAGTGGGGACGGTTGCTTTTGCCAAGTTGGGTGCAGATTTGCACCAACTGCTGAAAGAATTCAAAGACATTTTTTCCTTTGAAGTGGAAGAGATGCCAGGCGTCAGCCTGGATCTTACTGTCCACAAACTCGCCGTGGATCCCAAAAAGAAGTCGGTTAGGTAAAAAGAAAGGAACCACGGCGAGGAAAGATCTCAGGCTGTAGCCGCCGAGGTCAAGAAGCTGCTAGATGCCAGGTTCATTCGCCAATGTTACTACCCGGATTGGGTAGCAAACGTTGTCCTTGTAAAAAAGCCGAATGGCTCCTGGCGGATGTGTGTTGATTACACAGATCTGAACAAGGCATGTCCGAAGGATAGTTATCCACTTCCAAAGAATGGCAGTCTGGTCGACTCTACAGCCAGTCATGCCTTGATGAGCTTCATGGACGCCTATTCAGGCTTCCATCAGATACCCTTGTGGAAAAACGATCAAGAGAAGATGGCATTCGTCACTCATCAAGGGTTATTCTGTTATACGGTGATGACGTTTGGGCTGAAAAATGCACCTGCTATCTTTCAGCGGATGATTAATATGGTCTTCATTAATCAAATTGGGAGGAATGTAGAGGCGTACATTGATGACATGATAGTCAAATATAAGCTCCAGACGGATCACCTTGCTAACCTTCGAGAAACCTTCACCACCCTCAGGCGGCATAAGGTCATGCTTAATCCCAAAAAGTGTGTCTTTGGTGTTGAGTCTGGGAAGTTTCTCGGATTTTTGATTGATCAAAGGGGGATAGAGACCAACCCGGAAAAGGTACAGGCGGTAATTGACATGAAGTCACCCCGCACTGTCAAGGAAGTCCAAAAGCTTACCTGTTGTTTGGCGGCATTGAGAAGATTCCTCAGCCGGTCAGGCAACAAATGCCTCTACTTCTTCCAGTCAATAAAAAAGAAGACTAGATTCGAATGGGGGGAAAATGCTGAGGCGACATTCCAGAAATTGAAAGAGCATCTTCACTCATTGCCACGGCTGGTCAGCCCTCTAGCAGGAGAGGTTCTCTATATGTATTTGGTCGTCTCAGAGCATGCCCTCAGTGCCGTTCTCCTAGCTGAGAGAGACGACATCCAGCTCCCGGTCTATTTCATTAGCCATGTTCTTCGAAATGCTGAGCTGCGGTACCCCTTGGTTGAAAATTTTGGCCTCGCCCTGTTCATGGCTGTTAAGAAGTTGAAACCATACTTCTTGGCACATCTGGTGGTGGTCTACACAGACCAACCCCTCAAGCGGCCAATGACAACCTTGGAGTCATTCGGCAGAATGCTCAAGTGGGCTATTGAAATGCAAAGTCTGGAAATCACCTTCGAACCAAGAAAGGCAGTGACGGGTCAGGCGTTCGCCGACTTCACTGTGGAAATGACAAGGCCGGCTCAGCCGAACAATGTTGATCAGGTCTAGAAGGTATATGTAGACGGGAGCTCTACTATGAACGGTTGTGGTGCAGACGTAATTTGCAAGTCTCCGGAAGGGGACAAATATGAATATGCACTACGGTTCAAGTTCCAAGCCTCTAATAATGAGGCGGAATATGAGGCCCTGCTTGCCGGTATCCGCATGTGTAAGGCGGCAGGGGCAAGGAAAGTTGACGCCTGTTAGCCAATACCATGGTGACTACGAGGCCACCCATCCGGCTATGATCAAATATCTGCAGGCGGTCAAAGATGAGGCCGGGACACTTGACGAATTTCATCTAAGTCAAGTGCCCAAGTCAGAAAATAATTAGGCGGATGCACTGTCTAAGTTGGCATCATCCGCCACTTGTGATGCGCCCCAGGTCAGTCTTTTGGGAAGTCATGGAAAAAAGAAGCATTGAACATGATCCCATTGGAGTTCTTGACCAAAGCTCTACCTAGATTGATTCCATCCAGGCCTACTTGGTAGACGACACTTTGCCGGACGCCCCTTCAGAAGCGGCTGCGTTGAAAAAGCGAGCCTCAAGTTTTGAGATCTACAAGGGGAAACTCTTCAGGAAGGGTTACCTCCAACCACTGCTTAAATGTGTTACCCCTGAAAGGAGGAAAGAGGTTCTAGAGGATCTGCACTCGGGCTTTTGTGCATCACATATAGGTGGCAGAATTCTAGCAAAAGGGGCCAGGCGGCAAGGCTAATTTTGGCCAACTCTCGAGGCAGACGCCATGGAAATGGTGAAGAAGTGTGATAAGTGTCAGAGATTTGGCCGGCTCATACACTGTCCGGCTATTGATTTGACGGCTATCTACAACCCGGTTCCATTTGCAAAATGGGGCATGGACATCATGGGTCCATATACACCTACTACAAGCGAACAGAGGTATATCTTGGTGGTTGTAGATTACTTCACCAAATGGGTTGAGGTAGAGGCGGTCAAGGGCATTAAGACAAAGGATGTCATCTCTTTTATCTGGAGAAACATCATCACCCGGTTTGGGGTACCTATGTCTATGGTCTTTGACAATGGCCCTCAGTTTGAAACGCCTACCCTCAAGAGCTGGTTGGGAGATCAAGGGATCTCACATTGTTTTGCATCAGTCGGCCGTCCCCAAGCAAACGGCCAAGTTGAAACATTCAACAAGCTCATCTCAGACGGCATTAAGAAGAAAATTGAAAGGGCTGGCGGTCTATGGGCAGATGAGTTACCTCATGTCCTATGGGCCATCAGAACAATTGAAAAAGGGGCAACCGGTGAAACCCCGTTTCTCATGACATACGGCACTGAAGTCGTCCTGCCAATTGAACTTTATGAGCCAACGCTTCGAATCATGCTCTATGTTGAAGAGGCAAATTGGGAGGCCATGCGTCTAGCATTGGATGCACTCCCGAAGCGCAGGGACAATGCCGCCTTGTGTCATGAGATATACCGTCTGAGAATGACTAGGGCCTACAATAAAAGGGTACACAAACAGCCTTTAAAAGTGGGGGATTTTGTGTTACGAAAAATGGAGGCAACCGGTAGGGCTAATGAGCAAGGAAAGTTAACCCCTAATTGGGAAGGCCTCTACCGGATCTTTGAAGAAGTTAGAGGCGACACCTACCGCCTGGAAACTCCAGACGGCATGCAGCAAGCCAGAACCTGTAACGTTGATAACTTGAAAAAGTACTACTTCTAAGGACTTGTAAATTTTTGTAAATAGAGTATATTAATGAAAGAATGCTTTATTTCCATTGTCTTTTGTACAAAGTCCCATCTTTGCAATGCACAACCGGGCAATCGTCTGCTCTAAACTGAGTAGACGTTGGCTACGTATCAGACTTAGCTATTCATAAGGCTAATAGCCGGATATATTTTAAACCGCCTGCTCCAACATGAGCAAGTAACCGGCGACGCCCATTTGGGTGAATTCGTCGAAGAGAGCATCTCCCATTTAGGTGGTACATTGTTCTATAAATCATAACTCAACCGGCTTTAACCGACTGTCTAGGTTAAAGATAACTCATGGCCGTTTGAATGATCAATTGAAACCAAGATACAATCGGCCGTTGCTTCAAAGCAACGCAGACGGTAAGTTAAATTTTGGTCGAATGTAGCCGGTCTTTGCTCAAAAGCATCACAGTCGGTTACAAACTCGAATTACGCAAGGTCAAAACCTTAGCATTTAATCCATAACTTGGTTATGATACATTCGTTCGGCCTATGGCCGCCTGCTTATCAGCAAACGGCAATGACGGATACCCAAAGGGTAATCCGCAGCCAGTTAAAAGAATAATCTAGGTTGGCCCTAGCCGGCACCGTCTGCTAATCCCACTTAGAATAATTCTACTTCTTAAACAACGGTCAATGGCCGCCTATGTGTTTGTCCGGATGCTTGTATGGACGGCTGCCTGCTTAGAGTTGAATAATATTAAGCAAACAACCGTCTAAGGGCAGGTAGAGCCAATGCATCCGGCATACCACACGTATCGAATCAAATTGCAAAAAGAAAGATTTGTACGAGGAAAAACTACAAAAATTAAAGCAAATAATATCAAAGGCAAAACCGACTCAGTCGGCAAATATATTAAAAATAAGATTTTTAGCCGAACTTAGAAAGAGATACATCTTAAAATACACGGCTCGCAGGCTGGAAGAAGAAAGAAAGAAGGAAACAAATTAAGCTACTGTTGCTGATGCTGCGACGGCTAGCCCTGGCCGGAAGGAGGAGCCTATTGAGTTTGCTGGGCTTGAGCTTCGTTAGCCCCACCCGGCATTTGATCTTCTGTCTGATCCTCTTCCTCCTCGGCAATGCCGGCCCATTCTTCAAAGGGAGCCGGCTTCTCAGTTCCGAGAACCTGGGCATCGAACACCTCGGTGGCGTATCTGTACCTCAGGTCAAAGAAAGCCCAGTCGCTGTCCGGATGGGTCATAGTCCAGGCCATCTTCATGCGCTCTTCACAGTCGCGCTCTTTCTCGGCAATCAACCGGTTCTGTTCAGCCTCCAGCTTCCCCTTGTGGTCCGCCTGGGTCTGGGCCAGCTCATTCTTCAGCCGGTTGACCTCAGCCCGCAGCTAAGTGTTCTCCTTGTCAGCATCCCCCAAGGCTTTGACATCAGCTTGGAGGTTTTTGACTTGGAGTTCAAAGTCGGCTGCCTTCTTGTTAGCCGTATCAGCAGCAGCCGTGAGCTCCTTGATTAGCTCCTCCTGTTTCATCTCCAGGCTTTTAGTTTGGATTTCATATATTAGGGTGTTATATTGAGTAACATCAATAAGTTCGGCTGCTCTTCTCTAGGCATCCCTTACCTCCTCTTGCTTTTTCCGCAAGGGGACCTTCATTCCGTCTACCCTCAACATCACCTGCAAAGTCAGCCGGAAAGGGGGTTAGTTTTCAATTACGCTACAATCGGCAAATGAATAAAATTGCATAAAAGCACCCAACCGATGAATTACCTCTGCGAGCAGTGAGTTGATGCGGTCTATGTTGACCTGGTTTATACCCGGTACTGCCTCCTTCCCGGATCGGGTAAGGGTCCTCAGCATTCTCTTGGCGTAATTTTAGAGATCCGGCCAACGAGAAGAGGCATCTGCATCAATAGATTTATCGGTTAAGTACTGAGCATATGCGACACCTATATTCTGTCGGCTGCCTGAAGAATCCCCTGATTTGGTAGCTTGGGACTTGACTCGCATAGGCCCAAGCGGCCAGGGGGGATCAAAGGTGAGAGCAGTACCTTGATTTTCAGGCTGAGGGATCACTCCACCCCCGGCCGCATTGGAGCCGGATGCTACAGCAAGCACCCGGCTTGAGGGGATTTCAGGCTCCCTCGTCCTAATCTCAGCCGGCCCTGATCCTAAGCCAAGATCTTTCAGGCTTTTGCCTGCTGAAGTAGGCCTCTCAGGCGCAGGCGGCCTTCCTGTAAAGGCGGGGGCAGGCTGGGAGGGCTCCTCTCCCGGTCTCTTCACCATCTGCCTAAGGGAACGAGGAACATTCTTGCTCCCCGTCTGAAAAGGAAAACAGCACAGCCGGTTAATATCAAAAGTTAACTCCAAACCATGCAAACGGTAAAAGAGCTTAGCCGGCGCTTACCCCATCATCTTTAGCCGCCAGTTGGGCCCTCTTTTTCTCTAATTGATCCTTCTGTATCTCAGCAGCAGACTTAGCCGGTGTCTTTTCAGGAGGCACCATCTCTAATCATTTCTCTGCAAGGAAGAAAAATCAAAAGGTTAATATCCATTCAAGCATGATACAGACGACATAAAGTGCCGGTTAGCAATCAACATACGTCTGCTAAACATCGTGCTAAGGCCACAGGCGGAAAGGAACGCCTCGTCCTTCAGCTAGTCCAGATGAGGGACCCAATTTTTAGGGACAATGACTTTTATCCCATCATCCAAAGGCAAGGTGGTCTTTTTGAAAAGACCCGTCTCCATTATTTGATCCCAAGCTTCTTCCGGTAATTTAGGAAGGGCACACTTCATTCCGAGGAGAGACGGGTGTGTGTTGTAACGACGCAGCCGATGGTTTAGTTGTAGCGAGGGGGAAGAAATCATGTAAAACTTGCTCTTCCAGCTGCTCCACTTAGACGGCTTGTCAAGCGTCATCATAAATTCCGGGTGCATGGTCAATGTATTCCACACATTCCAGCCGCCTGGGGCACGGCTAAGGTAGTGCATATGTGCAAACGCCTTCCAGCTGGGCGTTATTTCTTGCATCTCGTAGGCGACGATAATCCTAGTATATTCACCCAAGAGTTGGGTGTTAGCTGTCAGACGCCAAGGTCGTAACCCCTTAGAATGGCCTTTATTGTATTATAGAGGGGGAACCGGAGGCCGTCTTTGAACGCCGCCTCATAGCAGCCAAAATAATCATTGGCATGGTCAAGGTCGTCGTCCCAGACGACGGATTCCTCAACAGGCGGTACAACAATCTCCCATCCCTTCCCAACCGGGCGCTTTTCCAAAAATGCGGGAAGGGTGGCATTTAGAGTGACCACATCCCGGGCGGACATGTGCGCCTCTATTGGTTTGTTGATAGAGGGCCACTTATATGCCTCCTCATCCTCTTGAGGGGCATCTGGTTCCATAGTTGACTCAGTAGAGTCTGATTGCTGGACGGTCTCTTCGCCGTCTGTACTCTCGGATTCATCCAAGATATCATTTCCGGGCGTGCTAGGTACGCCCGGCTGGTCATAAGGTACAATGTCATCCGGAACTTCTGCTGAGCCGTCTGACTGGTATTCAGGGTCTACAGCCGTCCGTCTCATCCGAGCCATTCTGTCCTGCACAAGAACAGAGACGGTCGGATTCGCAGAAATGTAAGGATGGTCCAAACACCCCCAGACGGCATCCCTAATCCTAGACTTAGCCGTATCCGGTGACCGGCTGACAACTGTCCTAGGCCGTGCCGTGTGTGTGTTGGGTGAGTCCATTATTCTTTACAAGCTATACAACCGGAAAAAGCGCAAAAAAGTTGCAAGGGGTAGAGACGGTACCTTGAAGTTGTAAAAAAATCAGAAAACAGTTGACTCCTTGAAGTCAGCAGCCGAAAATCCTTTTTGTTGCTTGATGATACCCCAAACGGTATTCCAGATGTACCTCTTTGGAGAGCAACTGAACCTCACTGAAGACCTAGACGTTTCTCTGGAAATTTGCTTGAAGATAATCCAGACGGTTGTGACCGGCTGTGGGTGTATTGGAAGCTAGGGAAAGTCAAAGGGTTCTCAGGCGGTTTGAAGGAAATTTTCTTGAAGATGCCCCAGATGGTTGTGATCGGCTGTGGGTATATTGAGAGCAAAGGGAAAAAACTTGACTATGGTCAGGCGGTATATGAGAGTTTTGAGCAAAGAACACTCAGACGGAAGCCGAATAAGTGAAGGAGGGGAAGTTTTTGCAAATAAGAGCAGCCAGTATCAGAGCTTTTCTCTCAAGAAGTTTTTTGAAAATTTGCGAAGTGTTGAAAATGAGGGAGAGGGTTTCTACTTATAGAAGAAGAACCCAGAAGGTGAACCGTCACCTCCCTATTCAAATTCGAAATTCGAATTCAAAAAAAAAAAAAAAAAAAGAGAGGGAAGGAGACGAAACGTCACCTTCCCAGAATGTGACACCTGTCACAGGTGCCACGTGGCAAGCCACGTCACACCAGTAAGGGGAAAATGTTTAGGGTAAAAATACCCTGTCCACGTGGCCTTATAGCATGCTGACACGTGGCGCTTTAACCAAAAAAGAGAACTGATCCCCTTCCACTATAAATAGAGGAAAATCCTCATTTATTACACATTCATAAATATCCACACAAAAACCGAGCAATATTAATTGCAGAATTCTCTCTTAATCAGAGAGAAAAACCTTTACATTCCGCACTTTTATACATCCGGAAACGTTCTAACTTAATCGTCGGAGTCGGAACTCCACCCAACTGGAGTTTCCATGGTTTTGCAGGTACAGACGGTCGACGCACATTCTTGAAATTGTAACTCTCCCGAGGGCCTCCAAAAACCCCAAAATAACTATCCCAAGAATCGGCAGTTAAAGACACTCTACAATTAAGTATACTCAATTCGTCTTGTAACCGCATTTTGTACTCTAGGAAGTTTTTCATGGCAGCGGAACGAACGGTTTTCCTAGAGATTCTTTTATGTTGGGGTTGTAATACTTTATTAATATAAGTGTTAAATGGATCACTTTCGGAGAAAAGAAAAAGTTGTTCGGCGTGTAGTATCATTTTCCCTAGTTCATCCCTATCCCTCTCATAGTTGTAGGTAAAGCCGTGTGGATGGGATTGGGAAATTTTTGGCTGGGTTGGATCACTAGCTGGTTGTGCACATGTTCTAAAGTGTCTACTTAAGTGTCCCGTCCCGAACTTGGATTCTGCCGAGTATATTTTACCACATGTTTTACATTTTGCTCTTGTTTGGGCTTTATTTAGCACAAATAATTCCATACATCACTTTTGCGGCTTTTGATATTTACCATGTCACTTTCGGTTAACCATTGCTCTTGTGTGTTTAGGAATTGGGTGTTTGTAGATTTGGGGATTTGTTGGTTAGTATAGAACCGGAGGCATTTAGGGTATCTTGTTGGCTACCTTGGCTAGTATAAAAAATTTGTGGGTCAAAGAAATTAGGTGGGAATTGATCGAATTGTGGAAATTGGTTTTGTGGAAATCCGGGCATATTCATATTATAGGGTTGAAAACCGGAAGTATTATCGTGCCTAAATTGTTCAAAGCCTAGGGGGACGTTACCGGGGTCATTGGTTGGAATGGACGGACTCGGAATTTGGGGGCTCATTAGATTAGGTGATTCCCTAAAACTATTACCACGGACAAATTGGGCTTTTTTAGAGGATGATCGGTTCATGTTTGGTGATGCCATAATTAACAAATTAACAATTTTAATAATAACTAATTAACAATAATAATAATTAATAACAACAATTTTAACAATAATAATAACAATACTAATAATTAATAACAACAATTATAACAATAATAATAACAATAATAATAATTAATAACAATAATTATAACAATAATAATAACAACAATAATAAATTAAAGATTAGTTTAGATCTTACAACCGTGTTTCAACGCTTTCCACTAATTACGATTACGAACTTTTAATTTTTTCGATATTAAGAGATAATAATTAGAGAATTTAAGAGAATTATTAAAGAATTTAAGAGATGAAGAGAATTATTAGATAATATAAGAGATTAAGAGAAGAGTTGTGATTTTGTGATTTGGAATGAAGAAGATGGAGCTATTTATAGAAATTTAGGGGAGGTAGCCGTTGGAAACAAGGAGGAAGAAGAACGTTGAGCAACGGTCATAAAGCAGCCTGGCACGCGGGCCAAGGGGCGGGCTCGTGTCGTGCCGTGCTGGAAAAGTTCAACTGTTTTCGTGGCACGGCCCACGGCACGCCAGGCGACCATCGTGCCAGGCCGGGCCAGCTGACGGGCTGTGTCGTGCCTCGTCGAACTTCGTGCCATGCCAGGCCGCCCGCAGGCCAACCCGGCCCGTGCCCACCTTTACTTGCATCACAGAAAGTTGGAAGCCAGAATGCTGAGAATAGAAGTGCAATAAAGATGCCGCAACATACCGGAAGCAAGCCTTTTCGACAAATAAAGTACGACATGGTAAGTGCTTGTTCATGCTTTGAATTTTGTACTTTTCTGGCCTATTTCATCGCTTAATGTCCTGTTATTGAGCTGATATAAATAGTTGCTGTGTAACTGACTATAAATGATGCGGATACAAGTTTTGAGAAGTTTTCTAGTGCTTAATAATTCTAGTTTTGACTTGATTTTATTTATACATGAGAAGTACTGCATTTAGTTAAAGGCACCTGTGCTGTGCATATGGCTGGAGCACAAACATCCAATGTTTCTATTATGTTAGAAAAGCAGAAGTTTGCTTGTTCAGATTCCATACAGGCAACCCAAGGTGGACATTTTGATCTATTATCAGCATATGAAGATGGATAACTGAGCTATCTTTCCCC